GCTATAAACCATTCTTCCATTATGATAATCATTCAAAAACTGTATGCTCAATTTTTAGAAAAAAACCCAATGAAATTCCTGAAATCATCATAACAGGTTAGTTTGTGAGCTTTTCTTTCAGGGCTGTCATGTATAAAAACTTCTCAAACAAAAGTCTATAGATACATTCATTCAACTTGTCTAACTTTTTTCTCATTTATTTTTAAGAGGTAGGAGCGACCTCTGTTACGATGGTACTTACATACCAGCAATAGTAATGTACTAGATGCTTTCCAAGAAAGAACAGTTTCTCTGCAGATTCTAGGTGGTAGCTTACTTGGTAAACTTCAAGAAATCCATTTTCTGAATATACTTATTCTCCTGAGTTTTCTTCAAACGTTTTTCTGAGTATTTACTTGAGGAAAGATTACAGTAGATCATTGTTGGAAATTTTAAGATAATCTTGACATTTGAAACATTGGATTGCAATTTTTAATGAAATATAATTCACCAGTATTTTGTACTTTTGATATTAGATGCTTTGAAGCTCTGGCTAAGCAGCCTAAGGACATATTGAAGAAATTGTTTCTGTGCATTTATGAATAAGAGGTTTTATTCTCAGACTTCGTTATTTAGGTGTTTTGGACACTTCCTTTCCGCCATAGGCTTCTGTCCCATCACCATCATCTGTTTATTTTTACTCCTAAATGCATATTTGGAATTATCACTTAAGAGAAAGACTATTTTGTCAACGTTCTTCTCTGTTCTACTTCACTCAATTCTGTTTCTTTTATTTCCATATCTTCATTTTTAAAGTATTGACTTAGAAATTCTTTAAATCTTAACTAAGAAAAAAGACAGACATCTTTATTGGCTTGTGTTAGAATTACTCATAATGCACTATGTATGCCATTGCAATAAAGTAAATTTTAAAAACATCTTTTGATCTAAATCAAGAAAATCTACCACAAATAGGATCATAACAGCTTGTTATCAGAGAGTGAGAGTATTGCTGTGGCACAAAGGTTTCTAGATTTGTCCAAAGCCAAGTAAAACAATGAGAGAGTGGCATTAAAAGGAAGGATCTTCAGACATAGAATGTGGAGGAAAGTTCAAGAATGTGGAACATTAACATATTGCAAGAGTAATGTTTTTATAGGTTAAAATCTTAAGTATAACTGGCAGTCTAAGGAGAAGTTATTTAGAGAAGATGAACCATCTTATAAAATTGGTTTTGATTCTTTGAAAACATTTGGCTTCCATCTGCTACAAATTATAAAGCAAGCACAGAATAGGTACAAAAGAGAGAATATTAATGAGTCTTTTTCTTCTTGTCTTTGATTTATGGATATGATCTTACTTGTGTTAGCATAAATGAACACCATATATGTTGGTGTAATGAGCATATTTTTAAGTAGTAAGAAGATACTTCCCTGCCCACTCCCTTTTACAGCTCCTCTTTTGGGTCAGCTTGTTCAGACATCTCTAGCAGGTTTCAAAGAGGCTGCAAGCTGCATATACATATCTTCAAAGTGTAAATCAACTATTTATGGGCCAACACCCACAAAAGGTAGCTAGGACTTAACATTTAAGCATTAGTGTGCTCTCCACCTTGACAAGGAACCTGATGACTCTCTGCTGGCCAGGCAGGCATCAGTTGTAGGGGGGGAAAATCTGATCTCCAGAGCTCCAGAGGATGGCAGAGCTGCCATCTTTTACCACAAATTGAAAGTTCCTGACCTGAAAAAAATCTGTGAATTGATCCTGGAAATGCTTACGACCTGATTTTGAAATACGTTGTTGGGGTGAATGGCATTGAAAAGTGTGCCATTAATGGCAACAGTTTTGTTCACCGGGTAAGAAGCTCTTTAAAGAACTATGGCAGCACAGTCCTGGCCTTGGGTCCGTTCTAAAATCAATTTCAAGAGAACAGAATCCCCCCATTTTTGTAAATATATTCAGTCAATTATTCTCCACCTTCATTGATGGTATCTGTTTTTCCCAGAGGAGATAACTGTTTTTCAGTTTCTGTTCACAATTCAGACACTTCAGGTTCAAAAAATGTACCACTATTTATGTTCAATTTTGTTATAATCTTCCACTCCACATTTCCATTAATTTGCTTCACTGACCTTAAATTTAACTTCTGAAGATTCCTAAATTTTACATTTTTCTGGATCATATTCACTACCAGTAACAGCAGTGCCATTACTCAGTGATAGTGACAAGCTGTTATGTGTATTCTAACAGCTAAAACACATACATTACCATCATCTAGAACTAAACCTTAACTGAGAGATTTACTGCAAATTGCAAGGAAGGTTTGAGAATTCATGAGGGTCCTCTAAAATTTGAAAAAAGAAGACTCACTCAGATTAAGTTGATGCATTTGACCAGATTTGTTCGGCTACTGGAGTGAAGAAGCAAAATATTTATCATCTAATTTCCAGTGTGAACAAGTGAAGATGAAAATCTGCTTTCTCTTAAGAATTTCAAACAATTCTAATTTTTACATCAAATATTTGCACTGATCTGAGAAAAAATCTGAAAACAATGTGTGTTTGCAAACATTCTCAAAATAATTAGAACATGCTTGATTATCATATGCTGGTAAAGTGTAAAAACCTCTTTCAATAAACCTAAATAAACAATTTAAAGTAACAATTAAACTATGTATCATTTGCAGAAAATTTAAAACAGAAAAAGGCAAAACAAATTTTGTTTTTCTGAGCCTGGTCTTCATTGTGGGGCCAACTGTTTGCAGGCTCCAATGAGGTATATAAAAAGTGACCTGAGCACCATCCTGGGTGTACTTTGCCAAGTAATTCCTCATTTAATTTCATGTTCTTCATTGCATTGTTCATTGGATGAAATGGCACTGAGACAAACCCCTCATCTGAAAGGTTCCTTATTTATAAGCAAAGTACCCATCTGTATTCCTTAAAACACCCTATCAGCTTGAGTAAGAGATATCATTATCAGGCCAAGATGAAGGAATAGCCTTGACAAGATAGGAGGGAAAATGTCCATATCAAGACAAGAATAATAGCCCTATCAAGAAAAGTGGTGGGAAAAGGATAGATTCAGGCATGTAAGGAATATCTCTGCCAGCTGCATCTCTCAATCCTTTACTTACTCAGATGTCAAGAGAAAGAACTTCTAATGCAGAACAATAACCGAATGCTTAACCATTGAAGAACTCTTTAAATATTATTCACAGGAGTAAAATTACTCATTTGTTTGAGCATTTTCAGAATCAGACCCTTTATGACAAATGCATCTAAAAGCAACATTTTTCACCTGAAGAGTGACAACGCTGGCAGTTTGCCAGGAAAACACTTTTAAAAAACAAAGTAACCTTTCTTAATCATTCTACTGTTTAGTCCTCTACTGTTTAGTCCTCATGCAGGCAATGACATTTGCCTGTAGTGGAAGTCCTGCTCTTAATGGTTACTGGTCCAAGAACTGCTAACACATGGTGATCTTTTGTTCTCTTATTTTAGCAGAATGAAAATCCAAGGAAAATGAATATATAAAAGCTATCTAGACAGGATATGATCCAGCAGCCACAAGATCATGTCACTTTCTAGAGACTGAGGCAAATCAGCTGTCAAGCCTGTATAGGCAGGATCAGTAAGGTATCAAGCTGTCTGTGCAGGATATGAAAGAGTAAAATACCATATGATTTCATCTGTTATGGACAAGTAAGTTGGACTTGCCTTCAAGTTCTGGTTCCATGCTAGATTTATTGGAATGTAAAGACTGCTGCTAGGAGAGTCACACAGAAATATAGAAGAGAAGCAAAGAGAAGAAGGGTCTCACCTATTGATCCCACAAAAGAGCTACAGGTAGTTGACTTCTCTCTCCTTTTATTTTTTGTGTTTGAGACTGTAGTTTTTAATTTTGAATACTATCACATTTTCCCTGACAACTCGATTATAAAAAAGTTTTTTTCTGAATATTCCTTGCATTAAAAAAAAAAAAAATTATGCTCCTTTCTGCATTTGCTCAGAACCTGTAGATTGAATCAGAAACTCTTAATGAAACTCCTGTTTGATTCTCTTTTCCTAATGTAGCCAGAACAGTGGAAAACTAGCACTCACATTCCAGGGTACAGTGAAGTTCTCTCACAAGATATATTTCACGAGCTCTTTCACTTTGCTTTGCTTTTATTTAAGTAAACTGATATAATTTAATGCGATCTGTTTTAATCATATTGTATATCCAAGTTCAGATTGACCTTTCCATGTAACTTTATAAATGACTGAGAAGGCTTGGCCAAAGAGACAAAATGTCTGGCATCCTTTAAAATAAGCTAGAGCCTACTTACCTCTGCAAGGTTCAGGATAATTTGCTGCCAGCCAACCATGTTCAACTGGATTGTGGCAGCACATTATAAATGACACATGACTTATGTCATCAGTAAGTAAATCAGTCAGCTTGTGACTACGCTTGCAGAAGTTGGAGATTCCTTCTCTTTTTCCCCCTGAAATCTGCGTAATTTCTCTCCCCTGTTTTGCCTCCTATTTTGAAACAGAACTATCATAATATGAGAAATACAGTTGCTCGCTGCAGATGTTCAGATTTAGGCTGACATGCAGTACTAGATTCTCACATGTAAGGAGGTGATGATTCAAGCAGTTTTTACTGATACTTATAATAACCTTAATTATGTGTGCTATTTCATGAATTAGCTCCAGACTGCATCATTTGCCCTCTTAAGTGCTTTTTGTAATGGTTGAAGATGGCAGAGCAAGAGATGTCAAAGCAGAGGTCAGATGGTTGAAAAGAGAAAGCGTTCAATAGTGCTTCCTAGTCTTCTCCTTAGGATTATTCCCTGCAGTTGGAACTTGGCCCAAAGCATTCAATGGCTGACAGGTTCTCCAAGCTAGCATAAAACGCTTGGAGGCAAAACTATATTCCAGGTGCCAGCCTAGCTGTCAGAGAGCAGAGTCCTACTTCTGCATTCCGGTTAGCTCTTGCACTGATGTTTGAATGCTAAAGAAGCTTCCCGTACTTACATCCCCCTCCAACCATACCCACACAGGATTATTGTGCACTAAGCTCTACTACTTGTGCAGCACAACAAGGAAGAGGTCTTCTCCAGGTGTCATGCTGACTGAGCCTGCAGGTACTGGCAGGTAACGCCTCATTGCTGCAATAAGAGAGAAGCCAAAAAGGATAATCAGTTCTTCTCTCAGAACATCTGGGGAAAACATCTGTATTATGTTAGATACTTGGTTCTGCTGGACACTTTATAGCCTTGACATAGATTCAATACAGAAACAGGAATTGCTAGTTTCTATAAAGCAGAAATCTACAGGTTATTTATTATTTTAATATAATGGTCAGAAAGTAACTGCAGTACTTGGTGGGGTTTCTTTTGCTTAATCCAGATCTAGTTTACCATTCACTTTCCTTGTTATTTCTGCAAAAGATGCATCGTATGTATTTCTTTAGATTTTCTGTGGAAGTCCTGATGATTCAGAAGCTTCTGCTGCTATGGCTGTTTTAAAACCTGAAATCTTTTAAGTCATACTTTCTAGTGCTTCATTACTTCAGAGACTGGTCCAAAGCTTGTTAATATAGAGTTTAAAGCTTCCTTTCTAGCTCTGAATTAGCTGGTATTTTGGTCATCATTTTCCTTTTGAGGGGAGAAGAAATTTAATTCTGAGTAACCACTTTGTCCTCTTTAAAGCATCTCCAAGAAGCATGATGCTGAATCTGCCATTTCCTGAGCTCCAAAGACACCAAGAAGACCACTTTTATTCTAGAACTTTTCATCTCCCATCCAGCTTTCAGTAGGTGAATGCAAATGCAGTCTCCTGCCAGACTAGTTTGTGGCCAAGGTGATCACATTCTCAATAACCTGATCTCCTCGGCAGGAGTAACTTAGTGTCTGGGATCACAGCATTCCCTGGGGTAGCACTTGGTCGTTGACCACCATGTACCCTGCATGAATTGCAATCCAGCAGGAAAGACATGAGGCCACAGGAAGGTGCATCCCAGCCTTAAAACCAAAATAGAGCTTGCTGTCTGACAAAGATACAGATGGAGTTCACAACCTCCAACAGCATCCATAAACTGTACATTGGCAAATCCCTTGTGCTGTCTCAGGAGGGCACACTCTGAGATGTATTTTCTGGTTATCTGGTGAGGTAGACAGGACTTACAGTGTCTACCCCCTAACTATAAATGAATCTTGGGAAGCATATACAATTTGAAAACCTGTTTTCTTCTATTTATTCTGAATATATGTATGTTTCCAGTACTTAGAAAAATCAATAATGAAAAGTTTATAAACCTGAACAGGTTCAGTAATGGGAATAGCAATAAATTTCCTTCTGTGTGATGAAGAGATAAAACTACTACTGCTCTGTGTCTACAGATGGGTGAAATTATTTGCATTTCTGGTTCTATTTTGGGCTGTTCCAAGCAGCTCTGCTGTACAGGGAAAGTGGCCCTAATTGGTGCTGATGTAGCTCAGCCAAGGTCACTTTGTCTCTAGGCCAGTCCTTAGGCCTCTTTTATTTAGGAGTAAAGGCACAGCTTCCGGATATAATGTCAGCTCTGACTCAAAGTTGCTGCTAGGATCAGTAATGACATTAGTCTAATTATACAGAGACAAAAAAGTCTGATGCAAACCCTAGTCTAAAGAACAGCTCCAAATGATTCTATTACTGAAATACTGAATCAGCAATAGCAAGAGTGATAAACATATGGAGGCAAAGCGTATGGTAGACAAATGACAAAGACACATTACATAGTCTAAAAGCACTTGCCAACTAAAAATAGGCCCAGACACTGCATTTGGATCTCTTTGGGCTGACTCTGGCATCCATGTGGAATAAAACTATCTTCAGATGCCTTCAAATTACATCCATACAAGTTCTCTTTCTTTCTGACAACTGTTTGTAAATTCAATGGGGGCTACTCAAACACATAAATTATGGCAGAGCTAGAACATAATGCTGCAGAAAAGAATGCTCCCCAAAATGCCTTGCAGTGCTCAACGATACCCATAAGCTGTGGAAAAAAGCCCTCAACCAACATCCCTCGGACTGTGAAGAAAAGATGAAACAGATGCAAGGCTGTAATCCAAAGCACAGTGAAGAGCTGGGTAACACCTTCTTTCATGGAGAAGGAAAGCTGTAGGAAGGAACAAAACAGGGGGCACAAGCAAAGATCTGTGGCTATTTTTGATTGACCTTTACTAATTGTGTGCTTGATCCAAACCACTTTCACTATAAAATGAAATATGATACCTCTGTATTTGATGTTGTAATGTAAATTTTATTTTTATATTTGATGGAAATTATGATTCTTGAAATCTCTCTCACAGCAGACTTGATTGACAGCCCCCTAAGTGCTGTGCCTTTCATAGCGTAACATAATTGACAACTCTTAGGTACAAGAGTATGTAGTCGACGAAGTGGAGTGTGCTTGCTCCGTATCTGAAGAAAAGTAGGTGCAATGAAATAGGTGTTATTATTAGTTTTTTAAAATAAAATTTATGTGTTTTCATTTAAGAAAGCATGACTTCGGGATATATCAGCCTCAAGCCTTTCAATAGTGATGAAAAAGATCAATGCAAACCAATTTCTATGTCAAAAACCACACACATACCATAAAATATCTAGAAATTACTTAACTGGAACAGAGTTAAAATACTGCTGAATTCTCTGCATTTTTAACATGCATTTTGTTTTTTCAAACACATGCTGATCAGCTTCTGAAACACAAAGTTTTCTGTCAAGCCACCCTTCTCTAGCGCTCTCCCTAGCCAAAAACTCAAGTTTTTTGTTGAACACTGGACCTGGGTGTTCCTAAACTTCCCTGGGTCTAAATAGAATCTGTAAAGTGCCCCTAGTCAGGCTCTGAACAATGTTCTCCACATGTGGATGCTCTGTGTAGAATCCTCAGACTCTGCCACCTAACCACTCAGTCTCTAGATAAGCGCTGGTGATTGCTGTCCCTTTTGGCACAGGTGCTCCAGATCTTCAGCCAAAATATTTAAAGTCTAAGGAAGAAAAGCACAGGAAAAAGAGAACAGAAAATAGTTTATAATAAGAATAACTTTAGTTCAGAGTTCAAAAACAAATCTTTTCTTTTTCTTTGGGGAAAACCCTAAAAATGTAGGCATCTCTTCAGAAGTGGTTTTCTATTATGGCGTCCCGATAAGTTTTAACTCTCTTACAACTCTTTGCTTTGCTTTCTGATTCATAGAGTCCCACCTTCTCTGCTGCAGGTTAGCTTGTTCTGTTGCATGGCAGCAGATCCTGCTACATCCTCCATGAAGTTCTGCCCTCTTCTCCTGCATAAGTTTCTTGTATGTTTAAGTCTAAAATACCACCTTCAGGTCATCAGAGGTCAGGAGACTTTATCAGAAAAGCATCTCTGTATATTTGCCCTGTCTTTCTACTCTTGTGTAAGCATCTATGATTGGCCACTGATAGAGTGAAGCCATCAGGCTCAACGGACCTTTGGTCTGACCCAGTACTGCCATCCTTACCAGCTGTTCATCTGCACCTATGAGGCAGTGAGCTGGAGACCAATACATCTGAATCACTGACCCCTGAACTACCTGTTCCTCAAGCAACCTGGTTTTCACGCTATCCACACCAGTAACCTAAACTCATGCTATCTCCAAATCCCATCTCTGATGACAAAAGGACATCCCAAATCTCACTGCAGGACCATCTGTATGTAGACTGGTAATATAAGCAATCAGCAAGTTTGAACTGGAGCTCAGCCTTAGGTTCGTGCTCAAAAATTTACATGTACTACAGATGTGCCCCTCAGGCTATCCCCTGACCCATGCAGGCAGAGCCTGGTTTCCTTATTTTGCATTCAGTGATTTTTCATTTCAGAAACCTCAAGCCCCACACAGAAGCACCCTTTTCTTAATGTCAGGCCATCCCTCAAAGACAGCACTCCAAAGCTTTTATCCTCATTACCTAAGTCTCAAAACAAAAGCAGGTATTGTGCTGCAGGCAACAGCCGCCAGTTCTGTGATTGCATAGAGCATGATTAGCAAGTTACACAACTACATGGGTAATGAGGTTCACAATTTGAACAAGGCCCCAGAGCTGAACATGGCCCAGCTGAGCTTGAAAAGGACATTCCTGCCACACAAGAGACTAAAGATCCGCAGAGGGCTTAGTGAAGCATCAGCATAGTTTGCATGGATTAGGTAAGCATCTACAGTCTGTCAACTAAATGCAGAGATAGAAAAGAGAAGCCCTTTGGAGTTAATCTTGGGATAAGTAGATTAAACACGGTTTTCTTGCATTTCCCTCCACCTCTGTCTTAATAAACTTTTGACAGAGGGATGGGGATGCAGGGAGCTGAGCATGTAAAGAACTTCCGCTCATTTTTATCTTACCTTGGCTTGTGCTAAAAACTGATTTTGAACTGGCAAATTCTGACTCCTGCTATTTGAGCATTAGTGGCAATCCTTCCACTAGAAGGAATTTTTCTGGGTTATCTTAGCCATGCCCACCATGGAAGTATATTTTCTTCAAAGCATCCCAAGTAATAACTACATGCACTCACATTGAGGTATAGAAACAGCTCACCAAGACATCTCTGTAGAAGTGTATTCCAAGGACAAGCAAGCCCAGGTAAACTCCTTGGCAGGAGCAGGATGGCTGACAAATACACATGAAATTTGTGCAAAAATCTTCCACCTTGAACAGGCAATCGTTAATTTCTAAGGGCTGACTGCTCAAAGATCCAAGAGAGACACAACATGGTCCTTGTCATTAAATGCCAGACTCCACATATATGCAGGTCTCCATTCAGCAATCTGTGAGAACAATTTTGTAACCTCAAACTGAAACCATGGATTATATGAAATTGGCAAATGTCATTGGAAAACGTGCTCCAGATGGCAAAAGCATTTAGGATTTTTTCACAGTGGGCATAGGAGTCAATACATGTAGGGAGTCAAGGGAGTTGGACTTACATCGACCAGTTTCCAACTATAAGTGGACGATAGGTGGCCCCGCTCCTTGAGTTTAATTGACAATTAATTATACATGGGGAATAAAAATGGTTCACTCCAGCAGCACTTTGTTTCTGTAGAGCTGACAGGGGTGAGAGGTAACAATTGCTCAGCACAGTGAGGAATGAGGAGCTCCTCCGCTGCTGAACAAAGCCAAGCCATGGGATGACAGATGGCAAATGAGATTCACCACAGGCCTAGAAGAGGCCGTACCACCTCCAGCTTTCTCCACCCCTTGAGCTCTGCTGGATGCTTCGGGTGGTGGGTTAGTGGGATTGTGACCCTAACCCAACCCCCTTTTTTCTTCTTTGGAGAAACAGTTGGTAACCAAATGCCATCCCTACGCATCCCATGAATGAAAGTGCGGGTGCAGTTCTCTGTCCTTGGCTAGGTGTGGACAGCAGAGAGACGCTCCACAGCTCTCCTTCAGTGCAGCACTCACTGCATTTGTTTGTATGTATCCATGTCAATAAAACTACTGATGTTTTCATTTTCACAGTTGATAACTGCAAAAATCAATGCATGTTTCCAGGTGTCTTGTACTTGACTTCCCCCCATGGGTGACTTCCCTTGCCCACAGCCAGTTTTCTTAGATCCTCTTTTATATCCCAGGAAGGAAATCATACTTTCATCTGCATGGGGGGGAAGCAAGAGCCACCTGTGAAGAAGTTAAAAGAAACCTGGAAAAGCAGATTCATTTCCAGAATTTCCTCTCAGATAGTAACTGTTCCTAAAAATAAGGTCCCAATAAGTCTGAAGTAGAGCATTTTAAAATTATTTTTTTACTTAATTTCTACTTTTCCTGTGGTAGAAGACAGCACTGCTAAAATCCAGTCACCTCTAAGGGTATGTACTATGTAACTTGTGAAATCAATGAACACTCAAAAGCACTCAAGGTTCAGTGCCCAGATATATGTCATCTTGGGAGGTGACAGTATTGTGACAGTATTGATACCAACCTCCCCAGCAAGAGACAATTGCCTATCTTTAGAAAATGGCATTTTTTTTTTTTCCCCATGGAAAAAAACTCAGTACTAGGGTGAAATATGCTTTGTTGCACCATACACCCTGCCATTTCCAACACTACCTGCTTAAACAGGAGTCTTGATTTTAGCCTTTTCCTTCAGAGGTGGGGTTGGCCGGAGCAGAGTCCCCCTCAGGTGACGGGCAGACGCCCAGGGCCTACTCCTGACGTCATCCCCAGGGGGACCGCAATGCAAGTTATGAACCATCAACTTGAAGATCAGTCTGAACTTCAATAATGCTGATGCGCTTCGTCTTTCAAACACACTCTGACAACCCACCCGCGGCCCGCTCACCCTCCCGAAACACGGCCCCACCGCCGCCACACGGCCGCGGGCC